TGCAATTACAAACACCATCTTCTCCCTGTGCTGGGCCCTGGCCACACTGGCCATGCCAGGGGACACCGGGCCAGAAGAAGCCTGTGGGCCGCAGCTCTGAGGGGCAACCTTGTGTATCAGGATGGATCCTGGTGGTCTGAGGCTGTTGGAACGGGAAAAGAGGGGCCCCCAGAGATGAGGGCCTGTCAGGGGCCACCAGCACTCGAGGTCTTTGATTTATCCCTCGAGATTAGCAAATGGCCTCAAGGGCAAGCAGGTAGGACGTGGACGCAGATATGTCTGCTTCCAGCCCACCCCCAAGCCTGGCCCTCCCCGGCTTGCTGGCTGGTCTGTGGACCCCTGACTTGAAGCCCCCTGCTGAGCCCACAGCCCCCCTAAGAACTGAGCGGCGAAGGTCAGTTCTTCTGTGGAGGACACCGAAGGTCAAACACTAAGCCGTGCTGGGGTCCCCGGGGAATATTTGGTCAGGACAGAAGCACCCAGCAGAGCTGTGGGAAGTTCTGGCTAATGCAGGGCAGACCTCCTGGTCAAGCTGGACCAGCTGTTGGAGGTCCTCCCTTTCGGAAGAATGGCAGGAGCCCCGTGACAGCCGGTAGGTCTGAGAAGGCATGCGCCTGGGGTGTTCGGGGTGTGGCTTGGATTTCACTTGGAAGGAACAGATTGTGGTCTCAATACCTGCTATCCCTTCCCCTTGAATTAGAACCACAAGTCATTTTAATCATGTGGAGGCGGCCACTAAAGCATCTGGGAAGACGAGTCCCAGAGACGGGCACAGCAGAACAGCATCAGAGCATCCTGCTCCTTGTCCCTTTGTCCTCCGAGTTCCACCTTGGGCGTCCTGCTCATTCACAGAGGGCTCCACCACCCGCCCCCGAGGGCACCTCTCCTCCGGGGCTCTCCCTCTCCCGCCTCGCCCCCTGTGGGCTCCGACACGTGCGCAGATCTTTCCAGTTCCAAGCGCTCAAAAGAAACACGGCATTTTGCAGAGGACGGAGGAAGCACACAAACTTTTTCAATGAGTTTAGATTCTATTTAAAAACCCTTTGGCAACATGTCCAATTATTAAGAACGTGAATAGAGTATGCAGGACACAGTTACAAGGCCCCCCCCCCCGCCCCCCCGAACCAGGGTTGGGGGCACTCTGAAAAGGCAGGGCTGTGACGTGAAATCTCTATCACAGCCACTTCCCTTGCAGCCCTTCTCTTCCCCCGAGAAGTCCCCTCTGTCCCTCCCATCTCAGGCTGAATGTAGTATTTACTGGCGGGCCGGGTTGTTTCCTTGCATACACATATTTTTAAGAAACGTCTTTCCATATGCCCCGGTTACTGGTAAAATAAAGGACTGTTTCTAAAGCAAAGGGAATGGGGGAAATGATACGCTCTGGGAGGAAATTTCCAGCTGGTGTCAGGATCTCACTGAGCTGGAAAGGGCCTTACCCGGGACTGGGGCCTCCCCATCCACCCACTGTCTCCTCCCAGTTGATCGCCCTCAGGCCTGGGCACGTCCGGCCTCCGGGCACCCACCCTCCTCCACGGCAGCCGGCACCTCCAGAAGGGTGGCAGGCTCAGAGGTTTACTTCCTAGAGCCCCTCCCTTGGAAAACCAAGACGAGTGTCCTCACTCTGATTTATTTTTAAATGTACCATTAAAAATTAATTTCCCCCTTTGTTTTTCTCTGGGTCACTGATTCTGAATTACCATGTGGCATTTTTCCTACGTGTGAAGCCACATATTTTACCTTTGGAACAATTTGTTCTTTGTTTCTTTAATAGCAAAAAGTGGTCACTGGCAGCCCCCGCCCCCACCCCCCCAGTTTTTGTGCCGAGGGGGTCTCCAGCCAGGCAGGTCCAGGAGACATTTGTACACAGGCAAACGCAGGCCAGCGGTGCACTCGCTCCCACTGCAGCTGATTATATATGTACATAAAATATTGATTAGAAATGGTAATGGAGTCACCTACAGGATTGGCTACAGGAAAATGAAAATGAAGGATAGAAAGGTATGAATGTGTGTGTGCGTGTGTGCGTGTGTGTGAGAGAGAGAGAGAGGGAGAGAATTTCTCACCTGGGACAGTGAGAGTAACACTGAAGCATTAAAAAATGCCCCTTCTGCCCTGGCTGGTGTGGCTCAATGGACTGAGTACCAGCCTGTGAACCAAAGAGTTGCTGGTTCGATTCCCAGTCAGGGCACATGCCGAGTTGTGGGCTGGGTTCCCAGGTGTGGGGCATGAAAGAGGCAAACACACATTGGTTACCTGTCTGTCTCCCTCCCTTCTCTTCTGTCTAAAAATAAACAAATAAAACCTTTTTAGAAAATGCCCTCTGCTCGTTGGCAGGTGAGGAGGGCTGACCTGTGGTCCCACACCCCTGGGTTTTCTCAATTCCAAGCATGCCAATTAAGCCACTGCATGTACAGAGCACACAACTGCATAGAAACTGCATGTACAGAGCACACAAACCCACTCATGTATATGTTCCCCGAGAAACACCAGCACTGGAATGAATGTTTATCCTACTGTCCTTCCAACAAATCAAAAAACGCTGCCCTGTTTTGTTACTTTGCTACCAATGGCCCTAAAGCTACTTGTCACGAAGCACCGGGGTTGAGGTGGGAAAGCGGCCTCCCTGCCACACCAGCCTCTGGTCCCCGCAGCAAGCTCGTCCTTGGAGGCCGTGTGCCCCTGAACCACGGCAGGTGTAACGCGTCACCAGGAGGCACACATCTGCACACCCGGCCAGCTCCCCAATGCAGGGGACATTGCACAGGGACGCTTAGCTCCTCGGTGGACACGGCAGGTGTATCCATGGGTTTGCCTGTGCCCCATGGAGTGAGAAGCTAATTCTTTGCAAAGAAACCAGGAAGGGTAGGGAATCCCCCCCCACAGCCAGACCGACTTCATAAATGATTTCAAATCCTTCCCAGACACACAGGACTCGGCTCCCTCCTTCCCCTGTGCGGCTCCCCTGACATTCCCTCTTGGCCCGCACTTCTCCTCGAACTCAAGCCAGGGTTGCCCTCCACTAGATGAGTTACCCAGCTGCTTAACCCTCCATCTCTCCTTGCTTTCTGGTCAACATAACCAAAGGCTGTATTTCCCCCATTTGAATTTTCACATGCATTATCTATGACTTAGGCCAGGGACACATACATAGATATTTCGAGCTCAACTGAAGAAGTCACCCTTGGCGAGAGGGACAGTAAATAACCTAAATGTCCACTCTTTGTCCCACTTGGTAGTTTTATGCGAGAAAATGCCCCACCAGCCTCAGACGCTGTTCACAACCTCACTTGCCCACCCCGAGGTATTCTTTCGAGGCTGCCACTAACAAGCGCTTGAAGTGCGAGCATCTCGCGGCACTACCCCACCCCCACCCCGCCAGCAGTACAGGCTGGGATCGGTGTAACCTTTAACCAGGATGAAAAGCCACTTTCAAGCTGATGGAAATTTGAACCCATTATAATGAAAGATTCCCCTGATCTCCCGACCCACTCACCACCTTCCGATGCTCGCTCCCGTCTACATTCTGGCAGGACCGAGAGGACCCTCGCCCAGGGAACTCCTAAAACTAGAACCAAAAAGGTCAGCGCGGAGGCCGGGACAGTCGGGTCATCCACACGAGATGCGGCCGCGGCCGGGAAGTTCGCCTCCTCGTCTGCGCACGGGCCGCCCGGGGTGGAGGGAGTCTGCGCAGCAAGGGGTGCGGGTAAATACACTTCCTGGACCCCCACGTTCATTATCCGGAGTATTTGTTTTAGGGATGGCCTGGGTCCTGGGGGGAGGGGTATGAAAATGAAAGGATGGTGGGAGGAGCAGTGACTTTGGTAGTTTAGTTAGCTTCGAAAAAAAAGAGGAAGAGCACGAAGTTGCACAGGTCCGCGAAAACCTAGAGTTCTCATTTTATTATTTTTTAAGCATTCTGAGGGACCGCTCTGCGTGCTCCCACACCCAGGCGCTGGGACACCAGCCCCGACGCAGCGCGATGCGGAGCGCCAGAGGGAGACCCGGGCAGGTAGCGGAGCGGACGGGCTTCGACGCGGAGGGCCCTGGGAGGGAAACGGCGGGTGTCCAGAGCCCGGCCCCTACGAGCCCAGGTTTGGGTGCTCCGGGCGGCCCCCGCCGTTGGAGGCGGGGGGGGGGGGTTCAGTTCTTTACTTTCCCAATCTGCGCACGCGGCGTGCTGCCCAAGCCCAGTGGCCCCCAGTTCTTGGGAGTCCAGTTCCGCAGCCCTGGCCGCCACTTACACCCACGCGGCTGGGACCACCCGGGGTTCCCTCTAGGTGAGCGCAGCGCAGCCCGGGGCACAGAAATCTCGCCTGTCTGTTCCGCGGGGCGCAGCTTCTGCCAAAACCCAGAACCAACTTTGCCTGCGCCGCAGCGCGCAGCGCGGGGCCGGTGCCCCGACTTCTGGGGGGGATGCGGGCTCCCCTCTCCCGGCATGCGAGGCACAGTGCGCCCGGGCAGTGCGGCCAGCACTCCTGCGCGCGCCTCGGCTCCCGGACCTCGCTGTGTGCGCGCCCTCGGGTCGCCTCACCAGGACTGCCTGCAGTTTCCAAACCCGCGCAACATCTACGATTTCGCTTCCTTGCCGATCATTTTTTTATCTCCAGTGTGGGAATAGATATTAAAGGCAAAGGGTCAGTGGGGAAGCTTTCTCAGGACACGACATCTCTGCGACTTTCCCGCACCTGTTCTGGGCTTGCTCCTCCCCATTCCACAGAAACTCAAATATTTTCTCTGCGTGAGAGAAAGAAAGAGTGAATGAGAAAGCGCTGCTCTAGAAGTCAGAGTTTGTAAAGGGGGGTTCGGGAAAAGTTAGACGCAGGTTGCCCCCAACACGGAGCCGCAGGAAGCGTGTGGCTTTCCCCCACCGACACTGCCCAAGTGCCTCCTTGGTCCTGGCCACTTCAAGAATGCCTAGAAGACCTGCGACACCCAGGACAGAGACCGCCCGAGAGGCAGAAGGACAGGCAGAGAGACCAACGGAAAAGCAGAGCACCTACTGGTTGTGGTAGCCGAGGGGGTCCGGGATGCAGAGTTCTGACACGTCCATCAGGCCTGTTTTAGCATTCCCAGTTGGTAGAGAAAGACCGCGGGGAAATCACGCGGAAGAGCGAGTGAAGGGCACAGGCGAGGTGCGAGTCCGGGCTGGGGCACAGTGAGCGGGAGAAGGCAGAGTGGGAGCAAGCGCTGTGGCGGGGCGAGAAGGAAGCAGAGAGCCGTGCGCGCACAGCCCGGTGCTCCCACTTCTGCACGCTCTCCTGGCGGGCAGAGGGGACGGGGAGCCGCGGAGGAGGCTCGGGCACCAGAGACTTGGAGCCCACTAACCCTACTGTAGCTTTAAGGCTGGGAGACTGATGTATGGTTTGGCTCCTATTGGCTATCTCTCAGGGGCTGGACTTAAAGTGACAGAATCAAGCTGGGGGAGGGGGAGGGGGGTGAGCCTGAGAGACTTCAATGGAATCAGGCGCGCGGGCTGGCGAGGTCCCCACCTCCTGAGGAGCAGGAGGACTGGGCTTAAGAGTCGCAAGACCTGCCCTCTCACCATTATAGAAAAACAATTTTTGTCCAGCTGGCTTGTGGCACTGCGGAGGGGAGAGGGAGGTTGGAAGATCTGCTGCTTGTATCCCTGTCACCCTCCATCCTCTCTTTTCAGCTGGCTGGCCTAGCAAACTCACCTCTCAGCCCTTTGGAATGGGTCTGTTTGCTAGGTTAAAAATGAGCCCCATGTCTCCACTCTCACACCAAGAAGAGGCCAGCGTTGGAGACATCCGCAGCCTCCTACCTGTGTGTGGGGTGCAGAAGTGCAAAGAGCCGGGCCAAAGGTGAGGCGCAGAGAGAGAGAGAGCAGCAGAGAAACACTTCCCTGCCCAGCTCCCCTCACCTGGGCCAGCTGGTTCTGAACCACTTTCCTGTGGCTGGATGCAGGGCATGCATCTATAAAGTGCTGTCTGGATGCATAAAACGATGCTCTCTTCATTGGCAACTTTCAGAGAGGTACCCAGCACACAGACACAGGCCAATAAATCCCTGTCCGCTTAGAAAAATACAATAGCGGTTAAAACAACCAACCTGTCACATGCACATGGAGGCACACAAGTAGGCACTTCAATGTACACACCTGAATCCCCAGCTACGAACACACCTGCATCCCTGCCTGCTGCTCCCTCCGCGAACCGGATTGTTATGGGCTGCTACGGCACCAGTGCAAGCTCTAAGTCATGCCCCAATTCTTCTTCTGGGGCTTGTCATCTTTTGAGATGTGCCAGCCACAGGGATAGTAATCAATTTGATGACTCAAATGAGTGTGGGGAGGGAGGCAGGTATAGAATTATTTAAAAGGGGAAAAAAGCCCTCAGGAGAGACCACCACCTTAGTCTCCTATATTCTACAGAAGACAATGAGCAGTAGGGGGGCAAGACATAATTTTTTCATCAAAATAACGTCTAAATGGAGAGTAACTCCAGGCAGTGTTCAAGCACTTCAGGAAGAAAGCAGGAGGGTTGTGAGAAGCCCCAGAAGGGGCTGGCCTCTCGGGAGGGGCCAGCCTCTGGGTGGGGGGGCGCTGGGGACTGGGCAGCGAGTCGGCAGATGATACTTGACTTGGATAAATGGAAGCGCGTGCGGGCTGGGACACAGCTGAGATTTTTCATAAGTGCCGAAGCGCAGGAACGCGGGATTCTCCACGCGCGGGGCTCAGGCAGGTATCTCAGAGAGATGGATGAAGACGTCTGCTCTGTCAGCAGAACCCCAGCAGCTCCGGGTTTGGGTTTTTTTTAACCACCTAAGTCCTTGGTCCCCTTAGAGACGGAGAGGGTGCAGAGACACTCTCCTGGAGCTTCTGCGCTACCACCCTATCTTGCCAAGACCTCAGTACCCGTTTTGCTGCATCCTTTCTGACCCTGGAAATCCCTTCTCCACGAGCACAGCAGCCAGGGACCACTTTGTAAAACACACACACACACACACACACACACACACACACACACAATGTGCTCTTGTTGCAGTTCAGAAAGAGGCCCTAGTCCTTCCCGTGCCCTATGGGGAAGGCCCCACGTGACAGGTCCACGTATGTCCCTCCGCACTCCTCCCTGCCCCACACCATGCTCCCCTCAGTCCTCGAGTCTGCCACCTAGAATGTCCCCCCTTCCAGATCACAGCAGAACCTTCTGCCGTTCACTTAGCTTCCAGTAGTTTATCAGTTGGCAGTGACATATATGTGTATCGGTATGAGCGATACTCCCCCCCCTCACGACACGTGCGTGCACACACACACATACACACACTCACTAGGCCGGAAGCTCTGTGAAGGCTGGGACCATGTCTGTTTTGGTTCATCGGAGAACCTCCGGTGCTTAGCGGAGCCTGGCACACAGCAACTGCTTGGTAAAGATTTTGTTGAGTAAATTGGTAAACTGTAGCCATTTGGGGTGGGGTGCCAGAGCCTGCTGCCCCAGAGGGGCTAAGGCCCTGCCTGGCAGGTGGCATGGGATCAGCTGACTCCTTGCTTGGCGTGGGTGCACCACTTTTAACGGGAGACAGCACATTCGGTGGAGCGTGAAAAGAAAGCGTCACGGCCTGGAGCCGGAGCCGTGGAGGCACAGCCACTGGGGACAAACGGGGAACTGGGAGGTCTGTGTCGGCGGGGAGGCTGGCCGATGCCTGCATACAGTCACTGTCTGCACCGCCTCGCTTCAGGGCTTTAACTGATCGTCCCTGAGGGCCAGAACGAGGCCGGAGACCCAGTCCTGCCCGGGGCCGCCCTCCTCCGCTGTGCCGGTCCAGCCTCCTCAGCCCTGGGGCAGAGTTCTTTCTCCTCTGCCTCCCCGGCAAGCTTGAGCCTGCAGACCCTGCTACAGGGGAGACGAGGGCCCACCGGCAGAGACACCCCAGGCATCGGGTCCCCGGGCAGTCCCAGGCAAACATGGCTGGGTCACTCAGAGCCCACGGGAGAGCCTTTTCCCCACTCTGTCCGCAGCCAGTTCATGCGGGACAGGATTACTTCCCAAAGCCAAGGTCAGCTTCCACGCTGCTAGCTGGAGAGGCGGCAGTGTGGGAGAGTCAGAGGACGCCTGGATCTAGGCCTGACTACTCCGTGTGACCTTGCCAAAGTCATCACCTCCAGGAAACCGAAGTGGTACAGGGGGTGGAGTGGGACGGGCAGGACGCTTGTGTTCCTTCACACCTGAACTTCATTCAACCAATCATCACTTCCCATCTTCACTGCTCACTTAGAGCAGGGGCTATTTGTGATCCACTCCAACGAAATACTCTAAGCCACCCCCTTCACTGTCCTATGGCACCTCCAATACTGGCACCCCCCGCTGGGCAAGCCAGCCAAAAGGAAACGGAACAGCAGTTATTAGCACAGTCATTGCACAGAGTACAAGGGGAAAGCCGCTCACGTTGTTTTCATGACAAACTCCCTTAAATAGATATTTATTCCATTCACAGAACCCTATAGGCAAGAGGGCTCAGGGATCATTTAGAACCACTGTAAGACTTTACAATTAAGGAAGTCTGTGAGTTTCTCTATGTGGTGAAGTGACCCACCCAAGGTCACACGGAGAGCAACTAGCAAAACATGCCGTCTGTGGAGTCTGACTTATGCAACCCCCACATCTTTGTACACACTTCTCCTCCATTTCCTCCCTCTTCCCTTCCCCAAGTTTAAGCCCTTTCCCAAGGAATGCGAAGCCAAGCCACTGGGAACACCCACACGTCACCTGGGAGAGGGCAGGGACCCAGGCTGCTGCCCACTCTGGTCCCCAAAACTGTGTTTCTCTAGGTACAAAGGCTTTCATCGTACAGTGGGCTGTGGGACTCGGGTCCACACTAAACACTCCTCCCTCCCTTTCTAAGTCTCTAGAATGGGCTGCCCCAGTGCCCGTGCTGGGATCTGGAGGGCCAGCCGAGCGGCCTTGCGATGATCCAAGCAGCTGACCCCAGCACAGCACTCCTTGCCACGGACCTGGTGAAAACCCCCACCATTCAGGGTCCAGGCTTGGGGTGCATCTTCCCTCTCTTCAGACAGCTTCCCCTGACACCTGCCGTGTCCGCACACACAAGGCAGCAGCATGCAGGGTCCTTTGGGGTCCTGACTCCCCTCCCTGTGATGCGACGCTCACAGCCCCACAGCGGTTTTTTCTCATCTTTCAAGACAGGCAACTTAGTAGGAGCTGGTGGACTCAACAGGGGCTCCAACAGGGCAAAGGACTAGACGGCTTCACCATGAAAAGGTGAGACCCACCAGGAATGGTTGAAGAGCCGGCCACAGGCTCCGTAAGTCCAGTGAACGTGGGACACTACGTGCTCTGTCACACCAGCCCTGTCCCTCACCCTCACCCACACTCCCTGAGCCCGAGTTCCCAGGTGGGAATGATGCCTTGGGAAACACCCAGGTGGGGGAGCTGCTTCTTACCACCAGCCCAGGAAGAGCAGGAGGACTCCGTGGAACTGTCTGGATCGCACGCCAGGCTTGTTTTTCCTCCACCCTGGGGTTAGCGCTGGCGGAGGAGCATGGAAAGTACATCCACCGCACTTCGTCCAAGAGGACCAAGGAGGGCCTGGCCTCGACGGCAAGCCTAACCTGTGCGTCCCTGGGAACAGTGCAGATCAGGCCAGGGCTCCATGGTCTCCAGGCTCGGGCAGGTGTCCCTGGCCACACGCATCTGCGGTCCCGCTCGCTCTCTTCTCACCTACCTGAGCTGAGGGTGTAGAGTTATATCCCCGAGTGGTGGTCAGCAGACTGGCAGCCCATTGGCTGGCACACGTCCCAAGGATCATAATTAACTGATAACACTGATACAATGCGAGTTTGTACTCCCATAATAGTCTCCTGCTGACAGATAAATGCTGCGGAAACACGATGGCTTTTCCTGAAGCCGTAATGGGCCATTACTGGGGCAGGAAGGGCCACGTGCTGTTAGCACGGCCACGTGACACCACAATGCAGTGTGAAGGGGACAGCGTCTTGAGTGGGTCAGTGCTCGGGTTCCCTCCCACCATCCCCATCATCCCTTCCCTTGTCTGAAATCCCTACCAGAGGTCTTGGAATAAATTCCAGATATTTCAAAGATCTACTGTGTTCTTTTTTTCTGAGCCTCAAGATCCTATTCTCACCAGCATGGCTGAATAGGATATGACGGTTCTCTGTTTGCCGAAAAGACCTCGGTTCTGCAGGCACAGCGCGAGGCGGCCACTGTGTGACCGGGCAGGCGGCAGGTCGTGCCTGTGGGACATGTCTCTCCGTAGAAACAAGACCTTTCTCCCTCCTCATCTTCAGGAGAACAGGAACACATGATGACAGCGACAGCCT